AATTCCAAACTGTTGACCGTGCAGATCACAGGAAAGCACATAATCACTTTGCCACCAGGGCTCCATTTTATCCATAGAACCACTAAATATTGCAACTCAAGGCTCGAATATTTTTGTGAGTTCGTTCAATTCAAGTTATGATGAGCAAGTCCTTCCTGGATGCTCCTTAGAGGCAAGGATGGTGACTTCATCTCATGCTTTGGACATGTTATCAGGAGAGACCAGTCCCTGGAAAAAAGACATCATGTTTGACAAAATAGAAGGGAAGATAAAAAGAGGAAAGCTTTTGACAAAATGGATTGACAGAGTGACTGTAACAATGTGCTCAAGCTTAAGAATAATTTTGAGGATGACAAAAATAGACACCAATGTACATATATTTATATTATATAGTATACAGATAGCAGATGAACTTAGGAGTTTTACTCAAGGCCGCCCTTAAAACATGAACACTTTGTACTAGTAACCGGGCACTCTTTGATACTCACCTTCTTGAGACAATCTCCAAAGACAAATGGGTGCCTAAGTAAATGTGGTGAAGGGAGCAGATGATGCCCAGCTATCAAAAGATACGGTGTCTGGGGTCTTAAAGGCTTGAAGTTAAACAAGCAGCAATCCAGGAGGGAAGCAAATAAGCCCACTTGGAAGAATCACAGCAGCCTGTGTGATTGTGAGGTGTCGATGGGATCAGGTATCAAAAGATCCAAAACAAACAATGATATTGATGTGAACGAGAGGGGTTGGAGTGGGGACCCAAAACGTATCTGTAGACTGTTGGATCTCTCCCCACAGAAGGGTAATAAGGAAGGGATGATTCAATCAAGGTGCAGTACAGCATCAATGAAACATATATCATTCCTCTAATTCCTGAATGCTTCCTCCCTCCATTACCTTGGCCCAGTTCTACCTTACAAATCTGACTAGAACAGAGAATACACATTGGTACAGATAAGAGTTCTCAACACATGGAACTCAAGACATAAAAACCCCTCAGGAGCAGTAGTGGGAGTAACGATATCGTGAGGGTGGGAGATGGTCAGGGAGGGGGAATGGAGAGAAAGGGGGAACCCAACACAGGTTGGATATATATCCTCACCCACCCAAAGGGGATGAATAACAGTAATGTGGGTGAAGAAAGACAACAGATAGTGTAAGATATGAAATAATAATAACAATATATTGTTATTATTATATGTTATGATCAAGGATTCAGGAGAGTGGGAGGTTGGAGGAAGGATGGGGAAAAAGAGGAGCTTATACCAAGGTGTGATAGTCTGGGTAGACTAGAGAAACAAATCCATGGACACACATATGTGTATAAGAAAGAGGTTTATATACAAGAGGAATTGAACATTGAGAAAACATCTCAGCCCAGTCCAGATCAAGTCCATAAGTCCTATAAAGTCCTCTTCAGACCCATGAAACACATGCAATGACACCGAATGTAGAAGATCACAGGTCAATGGGTAGAAAGTCTTTGGATCTAGTGACATTGGAAATACCTCATGGTAGGTATTTCCTACCATGCTGGCAGGGGTCTCCGCATGGCTTCTCCAGCTTCCAGGGCTGCATCAGGGTGGGTCCACATGTCTTGTCAGCTGCTATGTCTCCCAGGGTGTGAGCAGAGAGTCTCACACCTCCACGGAGGAAATACCGTAATTCCCAGAATTCTTATGGGAAAGCAATGCTCACATAGAGAGAGGCCTCATTGGCTATGATCTGATTGACAAGCTAGACTCCACCCTTACACTCTTAATTCTGAAGTTGACTAACAAGTGTCACACAAGGGCTCAAGTAGAAAATGTTTTGGAAATGATGATGGCAACATATGTACAAATATAATTGATGTATGGAATGTTGTCAGAGCTGTAAGAACCCTCAATAAAAAGATTTTTTTTTAAAAAGGACCAAGAAATGTTTTGTTCTGTTGTGCATAAGGTTGCTTTGAGTCAGAACTGATCCACAGACACCTAAAAACAACAATAACAATAATATAAATACTACCCATTCAAAACAATGCAAGTGTTCCCCATCATTAACAAATTTGTGAAACTGTACATTCTTTCAAGGATCTTAGAAATTTTAAATACATTATAACATAGTTTTTAATTTATAAATGACTTAAGAAAAGCATATCAATAGCCAGGTGAATATTAAAATATAATTATATTTATAAATATTTCCAAACCCAGTGAAAATAATGGCCCATATTAATTATCAATACCAGAAATGAAAGTTATGCTTTATTAATGTCATGCTAAATGGAAGAACCAACAATTCTTAAGTATTGTTTAATTGTAGTCATTGTCACTTAAGCTATTCAATTAGCTAGTATGAAACAAAGCAGATATGTGTGGATTAGCAAGGAGATGAAGCCATAGAGCTGGAAAAGGGGCCCAAACCATGTGGCTTTTTATTTTTCCCCTGACATTCATGGGCAATAGCAATTTATACAGATCATTACAAAAATGAATTGTCATTGTCCTCAGTTCCCATGGTCCTACCAGTAAGCTTGCTACTCCGGCCAATCATATGT